CCAGCCTCTGGGACATGGAGCACCGGCTGCCAGCTGAGCCGCTGGATGGTAAAACCTGTCGCCAGATCACAGGTCACATCCTGCTGGTGCTGGCGGGGGGAACCCAGCACGGTACTGGCAAAAGCTCATCCCTTCACCGAGCAGACGGGGCCTCCCCAGGCTTCACTCCCACCTGCCGCCTCCAAATCAACCTCCCGGAGCTGGAAGCTGCTCTGAGATCCCATCGCTGCTCCCTCAGCCAGCAGCTCGCTGGTTTCTTAATTAAAACTGCCCAAGGTGGCTGCACAAACCCTGGCTCAGTGCCCCGGATTCGGGCTCTGGCTGTGGCCGCTCTGCCCGCCGGCGCTGGCACAGGCAGGCTGTGGGGGAACGAAGGGCTCCCAGTTGGCATCGCCTCTTAGTTCCTCTCTGGCTGCCTGTGCTGCTGTGTCACTCACCAGCTTCAGAGCTGTTCCAGCACCAGGTTTTTATGGCAGAAAGGAGGAAAAATGCTGTTAACTGACAGCAAAGTGCCCATTTTCCCAGCTCCAGCCTCTGCGTGTCGTGAGACTCGGGGCTGTGGGTGGGCAGGTGTCAAATCACTCCCCAGTGAGCAGGGGGAAGAATCCCCCCTGCCCACAAACAGCAGCTTGCAGGGTAAGCACAGGCTTCCTGCGGGCCCAACCGAGGGGACAAGGGACACAGGACACAGCCCCTTCTATGGCTCAGCCCAGCCACACACATAGAACCATAGAATCATGGAATGGTTTGGGTTGGAAGGGACCTTAAAGATAATCCAGTTCCAACCCCCCTGCCAGCAACAGGGACATCCAGCAACGCAGCTGGATTGGACTCAGCTCAGCCTCCCCCCGGGTCAGGCTGGAGGGTGCACGATGCCCTGATCCATCCCTGTCCCACAGCTGCAGGGAAGCGAAGGAGAAGCCCATGGTCACCAAGGGAGGTGACAGCCCACAGCAGACCTCCTGCCACCTACGGAGAGTGGGTGAGTGACCTGGGCTGAGCCTCCAGGAATGGGGTTGACTCTGAGGCTCAGGGCCAAGCGACCTTCAGGACAGGAGGGAAATGAGGGAAGGGGCAGGTGTTCTTCCGCTGCGGCGGGATGGGACAGGGTATCAGGGCTGAGATCTTCCCGGGAGGAAGGCTCCACCCTGGGGCCTCAGCTACCAGAGAGGGGAAAGGCAGGAAAACCAACATGGAACAAAAAGTGTTTCACCAACAATAAGCCACAACTTTTATTAATTGATAGAAATAGTACAAATTTTAAATTTAGTTGCATTTTACTCTTCTCTGAAACACCAAAAAAAGGTTCCTCCCTCTGGCAGCTACATCGTCAACTCCTGCAGAGAGAGAAAGGCACGTCAGGAGCCAGCACGGAGCCCCGCAGCCCCCAGGAACATCCCTCCACTCACACCCTGCTCCCAGCAGCTGGGAGCTACAGGCTGCTTGTCTCCCCTCAGGGATGTTCCACTGCAAACCGTCCCCTCTTCCCTCCCTCCCTCCTTCCCTCCCTCCTTTCTTCCCTCCCTCCTTCCTTCCCTCCCTCCTTCCCTCTCTCCCTCCTCTAACCCTGAGCAGACCGCAATCTGCTCTTTTGGGCTTGGAGTTACTGAGCTAGCATGCATAGCCACCCTTGCCACTGCATGCCAAAACCCAACCACAGCACATGCTGCCTTTTTCCACAGGGCAACCGAAGGAGGATGAAAGGAACTGGGGAAGATGGTCAAGATCCACCAGCAGGAGCTTGGAGAAGGTGATGTCAGTGACAAGAGCAGTTATGGGGTCCCAGCTCTCTACAGGGCCCCTCTCTCCCTCCTTCCCTCTCTCCCTCCTTCCCTCCCTGCTCCCCAGGGCTCCAGGCCCGCAGGGACACTCACCATTATGGCATTTACAATATCATTACTGTTGTTCTTCAGGGCACGCACGGCCTTGGCTCGGGACACGTTCGCCTGGGACATCACCAGCTCGATGTCTTTCACCTCAACGCCGGTTTCGTCAACCTAAAGGAGACAAGAGCCCGGGATTCACGTCAGCCCGACACACGGTTTGACTTGGATTGGGGCGGCTCCCACTGGAAACTGGGAGGAAAGATCAGGCACTGCCCAGTCACAGAATCCCAGACTGGTTTGGGTTGGAAGGGACCTTAAAGCTCCTCCAGTCCCAACCCCCCTGCCAGCAGCAGGGACACCTTCCACTAGACCAGGTTGCTCAAAGCCTCATCCAGCCTGGCCGCGAACACTTCCAGGGAGGAGCAGCCACAGCTTCTCTGGTCAACCTGTTCCAGTGTCTGACCACCCTCACAGTGAAGAACTTCTTCCTAATATCTCATCTAAACCTCCCCTCTTTCAGCTTAAACCCATTTCCCCTTGTTTTGTCATTAACTGCCCTTAGGAAAAGTCCAGTCCTGGGACAGTCCCTTGCAGTGACCAGGACCAGATCCTCCAGAAGGACCCTGTGCTCTCCCTTTACCATCATGGCAAAGACTTGGATGAAGGACAGAAAACAGGGCTCTGAACACAAACTCTGGACACTGTGGCCGGTCCAGGTCCCCAGTGAAGTGCCCCCTGAGGAAGGCATACCTCCTCTTCCTCGCTCTCCTCCTGTACGGTGGGGGTCTGTGTGTTTTCCTGGATGTTTGAAACAGCTTCTCCTTGCACTTTGAACTTCTCAGCAGCTGCCAGCTGAGCCTGCTGGGACAGGTCTTCGATCTGGAAGAGGGAAGAAGAGTTAAGTGAGGCCAGCTCTGCACAGAGCAGGATCCCAGAACCACAGCTGTGCCCCCGGCGCTGCAGCGGTGCCAGCGCATCCAACGGCCCCGCCGCATGACCCACCCAGGGAACCAGCCCTCAGGCCTGTCCGTGTCCCCTGGGGGGACACACAGCAGCTGGGACCCGCCGGTGGCAGCCATGGCACACAGGTGACACAAAGGAACCCCAGCTGAGTGACCTGCCACCACGAGCAGGGATTGACAGGGCTGCCAGGCGCCGCGCAGTCAGCTCACCTTCGCTTCGCCGAAGACTATGTAGGTGTCTGACGCTGGGCTCTTGTACACGTCTGGTTTTGTGATGACAAAGAGGATGTTCTTAGATTTCCGGATGGTGACTCTGGTTACTCCTGTCACCTGGCGAAGGCCCAGTTTAGACATTGCCTGAAAAACATGAGAGAAAGGTAAAAGTGAGGGAAAGGAGAGTCTTTCTTTCCAGTGAGGGTGCCAGAGCCCTGGGACAGGCTGCCCAGGGAGGGTGTGGAGTCTCCTTCTCTGGAGACATTCAAGACCCGCCTGGACGCCTTCCTGTGTGATCTCATTGAGGTTCCTGCTCTGGCAGGGGGATTGGACTGGATGATCTTTTGAGGTCCCTTCCAATCCCCAACATCCTGTGATTCTGTGATTCTGTGAGAGTCAGGGAGCCAGCCCAGCCTGTGAAAAGCTGTGTCTGCTCATCTGCTCTGCAGAGACCCGGGCCCAGCGCTCGGTGCTCTCACACAAATGTTACTGCTGCAGGGAAGCGCTCCCAGGCTTTCAGCCCAACACTCTGCTGGGAGCCTGGGAGGAAACTCTCTGCTCCCCACACCAGTGAGATCCCTACACAACCTCGAGCTCCTCCTGGCACAAGGATTTTGCCTGTGGAGGGGGAACTCTACTGCCTGGGGGTCTGGTGAGGGCAGAAAGTTGCACAAGCCGCTCTCAGCCCCGAACGCCCGGCTGGTACCATCCAGGGGCAGGAGGTGAGGAGCTGGAGCCCTGAATGGGGTTCATGGGGCAAAGCCCCCAGTGCTCAGGGGAGATATCACGGCAGACCCTGAGGAGAAGCTCAGCTGTCCATGGACAGGCTGTTCACTGCAAGGTTTGGTCCATCCACCATCCCACCTCACCTTCCGTGCTTTCTTTTCACTCCGGCTCTGTTTTGCTTTGCTAACGGGTTCTTCATCTATTTCAGCTGCTGCTGCAAGCTGCAAGGAGAGAGAAAAGGAGGGACCCATGAGGATCTGGAGGTGTTGGTGGACAGCACCAGCAAGTGCTGGGCACAGGGACACGCTGGCACGTGCCACCTGCCCTACCTGTGCCTGCTGTGTGGTGGCCTGTGTGGAGTCTTGCTCTTCGAGCTCTGGTACGGATTCATCGCTGTCAGACTCTGTTCCGGACCCTACGGACACAAACACACGTCACTGGTTGCACCTCAGGCAGATCCAGGGGACACAGCAAAGATCAAAGAACCACACGGCTGTGGCGTGGCCTTTGTGCCCACGCGATTTCCAGTCAGGGTGGTGACACGGTATCTGGCAGGAGGAGCTCCCTCCACAACCCCAAATGCCAGCAGCAGTGGGTGGCACGAGAATGTTGCCTCTTCCCAGCGCTCTCACCACGGTGGAATCTGGGTGCCTGGATGCTCGGAGGCAGCTCCAGCCTGACCCGCTCCCCCAGCGTGAGGCAGGGCCCTGGGCAGC